TTCCTCAAACATGGCCTGAGTTCATCCTGGTTGGGGGGGGGGGGGGGGGGCCCCGGGCTTTTTCCCCAAAAAGAGGCTTTCAGGAGTATAAATCTGATTTTGCAAGAGGGGCAGGTACTCTGGGGATAGGAGAGGCGTTTTCCTGGACCAAGGGTCCACAGGCAGCTTTGGGGGTCTCTTGAGTGGACCCTGGTCCACTCTGTTGAGTCCAGGACACAATGGCATTGAATCCCCTGGGGCTGGGTCACTGCCTCTGGAGACTGGGCAGTAAGGAGGCTGGAGGGGAAGAGGCTCAGGAGAACCTGCCCGTGTTGGGGGGGGCGATAATTCTCATCCAGCCTTTGGTAGATGGTCTGAGCCATGAGGAATGATAACATACTTTCTCCCCCTGCCTGTGACTTCAAACGTTCTACCGTGACGTCTGAGTTAGGGCAGCTGCTCTTTTCCAGCCAAATAAAATACAGGACATCCCCAACTTAGAACAGCACGTATTCTCAAAGTGACAGCCCCCCACAGAAACACCATCAGGAACAGGCTGGGTTCCCAGGCTGGCCGGCTGAGGTTGATTCACTCACAAAGTCCTTGGGGCAGCAAGCTGTCCTCTTGGGACCGGTTTGATTTTATCCAACCTCGTGGATGACATTGTTTCAGCCTCCCCCTTGCACACATGTGCGTGTGCACCAAAAAAAAAAAAAAAATCAAAAAATGGGTAGGGATTTCCCAGCACGCATGGGGTGGGCCTTGCCGGTTACTCATTCAATACCAAAGAACAGTATCTGTGTGCATGAGAGCAGTGCCTGAAGAGTGGGTGCGTCTAGACACTTCTGGAATCAGGGGACCAAAGCAGCTGCTGTCCCAGGGGCCACTCAGCAGTGGGAAAGGCCAGGGTCTGCCGGGGTGGGCTGGGGTGCCTGGGAGAGCAGGCCGGCATGACTCCCATGGGGCTGGGCAGGGGCTTACCGGATTCTCACAGTAATGACATACGTCGTTGCTCCCAATGAAGAGCGTGATCAGCTTCCAGTCACTCTCTAGGTCAATTTCCTGAAGGGACAGAAGGCTCTGAGTCTAAACTTTGGTAGTGGTGGGGGGTGGAGGGGGGCAGCACATGCAGGTGATGCTCACCAGGCCAGACAGCACCCCTCCCCACCGCCTTTCACCCTCTTTGTACCCCGATGGAGAGAAGATGCCAAGTGGGGCCTCCCTAACCTTCACCTTGGTGCCTGGCAAGGAAATCTAAAGAGCAGACTCCCTGTGTGCACGTGTGTGTACGTGTGTGTGTCTGCTCACGGTGGAGGAGGACTATTTTTCCTGGGAAATCCTAAGAAAATGGCAGTGCATCACACAGTGGAGTGTATTAACACAGCCGTGAAAAGTGATCTAAAGGCCTTCAAAGTTGCAGAGGGCGAAAGATGCAACTAGAAGTAAAAGCCCAGAGCTGCCTCTGGGGAGAGCTCGGCTGGTCTGGGTCCAGGGAGAGGGGACTGGTGGGGACTGGAGGCAGAGCCTGGCCTGGGGGAGAGGTGCGGCGGGGGCTGGGGAGGCCCTCAAGAAGTCTGCCCTCTGCTCAGCCACCACCATAACAGGAGTCCTGCCAGGCGCTGAATTCTGAATTCCAAGGCCGGGATACAGACACTTCGCAAAGCCCCAGTGAGAAGTTTTAGAGGGGCCGGGTGAGCGGGAAGGGGAAGGATTGGAATGAGGAGCCTATTTTTAGAACCCAGGGTTTACATAATAGGGCTCTGCAAAGCCAACTCTTGGGTAAGGTGGGAAACTGCCAGAGGCCAAGGCCGGCTCTGCTCCCTCCTGTGGTGGGGCCTCGGGGGTGGGGGTGCCAGAGCCTGGCTCAGGAAAGGGCAGCAGAGAGGGCGCGTCGGGGGTAAGCCCTGCTTCTCGGGGCTCAATTGACCCCTCCTTAAAGACAAGCAGGGGCTGAAATGGTGGTCCAGACGACTGGAGGCCGCACCTTTTAGGGTGGCCCAGGGTCCTGGGGTACTCACCGGGTGGTTTTTCATTCGCTCCACCAGGTCCCGGGCCTGGGTTGGCATGTCCCTAGACGGGGAAGAGAAAGGAACCTGAGCAGTGGCTGAGGAAAAAGAGCTCCTACCGCAGGCTTTGGGCCTGGCAACACAGGTGCTTCCAGAAGGGAAACGTATATAAAGTTTATTCCTTCACAATGTATCTAAAAGCTTTTTGAGTCTCAAGAAATCTCAACCTAGGAAAAATCAAAGCTCTGCCACGGACCTCGAAGCCACATAGATGCAGACCCTGCCAGGGGCTAGTCTGCCTTCTGCAGGCCTGGTCCTCTGTGGCCACGGGGGGTGGGGGGGCGGGGGGGGGGACCTGGTCAGCTTTCCCTGAGGGATGGTCCCTGACATCCCCCTCAGCTCTTTCACGGCAAGCGGAGTCTGTTCAGATCTTAGTCGGCTGCCTGTTTTAAAAATAACCTTTTGTATATTTGAAAAAAAGTCACAGCCTTAAATTATCCTCTGCCTTCTTTCCAGGCACCCTGACTCCTTAACCTTCACTTCTAAATCCCACCCTCGGTTCCTTTAATCCTTTTTTCTTCTCTGTAGTTACTTTGGACTTCTACACCATTGCCCATCTCCTCACTTTTCCCCCTGCCGGCATAAGAAGCCAGGGGAGAGAAATCCAGACAGGATTAGTTTTCCCTTCACCTTCCAAATGTCCGCCACGAATAAGGAAAGTGAATGCTCTGGGTAAGAGTGAAGTATGTCGATGGAACGGTACTTGGCAGTAAAGAGGAATGAACTGCTGATCTGCACAACATGGGTAGGTCTCAAAATGACCTGCTGGGCGATAGACGTTAGACAACAGCACCCAATATAGGATTCCATTCACGTAACATTCCAGAAAAGGAAAACTGATCTCTAGAGATAGAAAGCAGGTCAGTGGCTATTGGGGGTGCAGGGAGTGGGGTAGAGATGGGAGGAGCAGGAGGGAGAGATGGGTCACAAAGGGCACAGGGACACTTTTGGGTGTGATGGGTGTTATCTGGATTCTAGCGATGTTAAACCATAAGCTGTGGACATATGCCGAGTTTATCAAATTGTATACTTGAAATGTGTGCAGTGAACTGCATGGCAATTATACTTCAATAAAGCTGGTTTTTAAAACCAGAGAAGTATATGAGCTATGTGGGCAAAGGGACCCAGCCAATGGAGGCTTCTGTGCAAGAAGTCATAAAAGCAGTAACTGGTACAGGATGGGCGTTTTAAACCTTTGCCTGTCCATGAGGAGCTGGGCTTGCAGCCAAGTCTCATTTATATGTCCAGGATCATAGTCCATCCATTATTGCTATTGATGCAATACATCAGAAAGCTAGAAAGCAAGCCTGTCCTGGGTAAAGGGGACTCCAGAAGTGTCTATAACCTGCCAGTAGGCTCAAGACGTGAGTAGGGGAAGTCATGGGTGATAAGCCCTCATGAGCGTGAGGGGAAGTTAGGAGTGCTCACTTCCTCCCCTCTTCCCAGCCATGTTCTTCCCACCCTTCAGCCTCGGAGCAAGTCCCACCTCCCCACTACATGAGCCTTCTCTCTGAGCACCTTTATCCATACCTTCTGCTTCCTTTTCATCCTGGCATGAAGAGCCCTGATCTGGGGGTTACAGGTCCTGGGTTCTCTTCCAGCTCTGTGACTTACTTGCTGTGTGAGCACGCCCAAGTTACTGAACCCTGCTAGGGTCGAATTTCTTCATCTTATAAAAGAGGAGGTCGGTGGAGATGAGTCCTGGGCGCCTCCCCTCTGGGTCTGCACCTGTATGTGGGCTGCCCAGTTCCCACATCACACTGTTCTCTTTCATACAACTCGGAAGTACAAAGTCATTGCAGTCTGCAACGTTGCCCTATGCAACGTTTTTTTTTTTTTTCTAAAAGTTATTTCCTGTTTGTTTAGCCTCCTTAAACTAGACAGCAAGCTAGTTGAATAGGCAAGGAATTCACCTATTGATTGTTTTGTATCTTTTAGTAACTACCTTGGGGCTCAGTCCTTTGCCTGCTTCCCTTGACTTCTTGCTTACTGATTGATGGAAAGGGAAGTTAGAGGTTGGATAAAACTTTGAAACTAAATAATCCTAATAATGGCAAACTTTTTTTGGGAGGGCGTACATATTAAATACTATACTGTTTTCCACTGAGTTATTAATCTCATTTAATTCTTATGACAATGCTGAGACATAGGTACTATTATTATCCCAATTTATAGATGAGGCAACTAAGACAGAGACGATAAGTGACCTGCCCAAGGTCACACGGCTAGCAAGTCTGGGAGCTGGTATCCGGACACAGACAGTCTGACCTCAGGTCTCATTATCCTAGTTGCCCTGCTGTGGTGTTTATTTTTCTCTTGAGATGTGCTCCTCCTTATCTGACACCATACAAAATGACCCTGCAGATAAAGGAGAGTCACAGAGCAACTTTCCAACCTTGCTTACTTAAGTCAAAGGCTTACTCTCCTTTCCCGTATCACGGGACATCAGAGATGCTAACAAGGAGCTGCATGTCTTGGCTACTTCCCCTGCCACGGCCTCCTGGTGCAAGCGCCCAGCAGCAGTCAAGGGAGAAGGCAGGAAGAGAAAGAAGTAAAGCAAGAAAGGGGCTTGAACGTCAGCTGACTGAGGAATCAGCTGCTGGTTAATGGAGCCTGGGCAAATAATAATAAAATGATGACGGTGGTGGTGAGGATGACAGCAACAACAGTGATGCGGTGTTGATTTTACGGGCCCATGAAGCCCAGCTCTTTTGCAGAAAAATAAGTGCTTCCTGCTTCTGACGTTGAGGAACTGCCACGGCTTCCTGCGGCTCAGAGGCACAAACCGAGCGTGGGGCCCTCCTTACCACGTCGGAAAGGAACGCTCCGTGTAAACAGAATGAGTCAAGCCGGAGTCGTTTCCCTGGTGATCTGAGTGCAGCAATCCTTCTACAAAGCAAATACCCAGCACACTCCGTGCAGAAAATCAATGAGCTCTGTCAGGCTTTCCAGCTTTAATTATCTGGGTTGTTGTCAACAACAGAAATCGGAGTGAAAACAAACAGCCGCCATGCTGTTTTGGGGGCCTTCGCATCTAACTCCCTATTGTCAAAACAGAGCTTTCTCGGAGTCAAGGACCCCAGGTTCCGAGGTAGGGTGGGGGGCATGCGTGGGGCCCGGCGGCAAGCTCCCAGCACTCTGCACGTTTGCTCCCAGCCTCCCCGCGCAGGGAGGTTGGCCAGAGTCAGCAGGACGGGGCCGGGCCACCCTCAAGGGCTCCTGCTGCCACGAGAGGTGGTGACATCCCAGCGGGCCTGGCCTGACCCTGACTCCTCTGACAACCTTGGGCCATTCGGGAAACTTCCTAAGTCTCAGTGTCCTCATGCATGTACCCCCCCGCCCCCCGAAGGGTGTGAGGATCACGGGAGGCTATCCACAGGAGGGGCCGGGCATGCAGAAGGACTCCGTGCCAGGCCGCTTTCATTGCCCATCTGGGGCCAGGCTCTCAGACACCACCCTTCCCTCCTCCTCCCGTTCCCCAGCCTGATCTCTCGGCCTTGCCCTCTACTTCCTCCCAGACCCACGGCTACTCACCACGCTCTGGCTCCTTCCATGGCTACATTCATCCCTGCCGTCTCCTCCAGGGTACCGGTGGAGAACCCGAGGATGTGAGGGTTGAACTTCTTCAGAATGTCTTTTAAGAGGGTGAAGCAGACAGGTGAGAGCGGATGGGGGCCCATCCTTGGGGCCCAGGTGTGGGGCAGGACGATGCTGGGGCTTTTCAGGGCTGGCTGACTTCCCTCCTTGCAGATAACCTTCCCTGCCCTTACTCTGGGAGAGGCCCTGGCCTCAGCCAGGGGTTGTTACGGCCATAGTGATGGTGCTTCTCTGTGTTGCTACTTACTGGGCAGCGTGGTGTGGTTGTCCAAGATGCCATCCCCTCCAATGCTGGGGAAGAGAAAACACGCTTGTTAAGATCACCCTGACCTGCCGCTCCACCACTCCTCATATTTCCGGGTCAGAACCAGAGCACCTGCCCTTGGCACATGATTCCCACCACCCTGGGGACGGACACGAGCATCAGGGAGCCTCCTTGCTTCTCAGAGCCAGAGCCTGGAAACCCAGGTTCATCTCTGGAGAGGTGACAGGGGAGCGTCATCAATAGAAAATGAGTGGAGAACATCCTCACCTCCAAGAGAGTCCCCTCCAGGACGTGGGTAGGTTGCTAGCGTTGCTTGGTCGGGCTCCCAGTGCTGTCTGTGAGAGGCAAAGAGAAGGCTCGAGAACTGTGCTGGGCCCAAGGGCAGGCCGACAGTGCTGGGAAGGGCCCCCAACGTTCTGAGGTCACCATAATCTGGTTTCCACTTCCCTTGTTCACCCCCTGCTTTCTGGTCCACACAAACACTCAGGTGTAAGCAAATCGATCTGAAGCATGAGGGCCTTGGACCAGCCTGCCCAGTTACCACCCACCCATTCCATCCCTTCTGGGAATGCCAAACTCCCTTCTTTCCAGCCCTTAAATCTCTAATTCCTTGTCTAAGACCCTTCTCAGTTTCTACCTCCTGTATGTAGCTTTCTCTAAATGCCTTATCTTAAAAAAAAAACAAAACAACTAAAAGGAGAAAGTTCTCTTTGAAACTTACAAAAGTAACACATATTCACCATAACTGGTGAAATGATAACAAAGATTCTTTTAAAAATTAATAATCTACCCCCACCTTATTAATCTTGCCTCCTGCCACAGGTTCTATATCCCTTCTTTGTCCTTTATCCACGTATACACATCACCAGAACCAATTAATGGTTAAGACCCTGGGGTACATCCTTCCAGAGCTTTCTCCATGTTTATATCAAAATTAACCACATTCACACACATGCGGGGGAGTTGCTTTTCCAGAAATGAGTACCTGATTTTATTTTATTTTATTTTTTAAAGATTTTATTTTTGTATTCGAGAGAGAGAGAATGAGAGACAGAGAGCACAAGAGGGAAGAGGGTCAGAGGGAGAAGCAGACTCCCCGCCGAGCAAGGAGCCCGATGCGGGACTCGATCCCAGGACTCCAGGATCATGACCTGAGCCGAAGGCAGTCGCTTAACCAACTGAGCCACCCAGGCGCCCGAGTACCTGATTTTAAAAGGTCGTGTGTCACCTACAGGATTATGTATCTCCTTCTGTGTAAGTTGCTTATTTTCCCAGCTTGACAAGTTTCTTAAGGGTTATGACTACACCTCAGAATTGTTAGCAGAGTGTCTTGTGTAGAGCAATAGCTAAAGAGTTGGCTAATACAATTCATGGAGAGAAATTACACTATACAGAGGAATTGGGCTCCCTCTGCCCTCAAAGGACACATCTTGCAATGGGGTGAGGGGGTGCTGGGCAGTGTGTGGGTAATCCCCCACCCCCCAACTCTATAAGTTTGGGTAGTTGGAGATGAGTTCCCTGATGAAGACAGGTATACAACAGGCAGATGAAATGCTTGGAACAGTGGGGAAGGGGAGATGGAGGGGCAGCGTCATGGATGAGGTGGTGAAGGGTAAGAGGCCGAGCATTCTAGATTGCCCAGTGAGGTCTCGCAGCTGCCTGGCTGTTTCAGTGCCTGCCACAGGTAGGCTCTCAATCTTGTCAGCTAAATGCTGAACGCCGAGCCAGTGTGGAGGAAGGGCACATTCGGCACAGGGCCTGGCTGGCTCCTGGGGTGCCCAGGCCCATCCCAGCTCAGTACTCACGGTCAGCGAGTCACCCATGGCGGCCACCACTTTGATGTCTCCTGGCCGGAGCTCATGGACTAGGAGAGACAGGCAAAAAGACAGATGGTCAGGGGGAGTCTTCCTTTTAAAGTATAAGCTTGACTAGGAGTCAGATTCTGCTCCAGTCCCACAGGCCCCTCGTACACTTATTTCCAAGATTTAGCAAATTTGCCTCTTTCATCCATTTGGAGCAACCGAGGCACAACAATGGCCTTGATGGCTACTGTCCATCCTAAGAGAAGCCACACGCATGCTGGGGTAATCCAGGAACGTGCTGGCTGTGGGAGTCATGATCTTAGGCAGAGAGGGCCCCATCCCTGACTGTACCTTCCCTGCCGGGTGGGGAGGCCTGAAGGGCTGCCACTGGGACTAAACAGAGATGGGAAGGGTGAGCTTTGGAGAGCCCAGTGGTTGCAGGCTAGCTTCTCAGGGGCCGCCCACGAGCCAGACTGCATTGCCCGGGAATTGGCAAGGTCTGCTCAGGGCTCCAAGATGTGTTTGTCGGGTGTCCCACTAACCCGACACTTAGCCACGTCCTTAGCTGAAGGGAGTAACGATGATGTTTGCACTCACCTGAGGTGGGGACACCGTTGGAAGGATTCCACTCTGTACACAGGAAGTCGCTGCCCCAGTTCTACACCAACAGGAGGAAAGATACAATGCCCAGCACTCATTGTGCAGGAAGGCTAGCTTTAGTCCAAGGAGAAGTAGCTAGGGAATTTTTGGTGGAGGCTAGAACTATGCCCCGGTAGGGGATCATGTGTGGGCAGGAACAGCTCATTGTAGATGGTCTGAGAGGGAGATGAGAGAGGAGAAACTGGGCATCTGCCTGCCCCTATGCACAAAACACGGAATGCGTGGGCACACATATGCTACACATACAGCTTTTTCCATCTCAACTTACCTACACTCTCACATGGGTCTGGCGGTCACAGCAAAGGGGGAAGGAAACAGTGATCTCCCAGAGGAACGTAGATTTGGATGTCTCATGGAAGACCACACATAGGATTTGGTGTGGCTGTTTAACATTAAGCTAATGGACACTGATTATAATGCTGGGCTGCAGCAATAACTAGGATGCTTCTAGGAAAATACCACGAAATGTTTACAATTGTAAAATTCCTGGTTTCTGCATATCTTTTCTGGACGTGCATCTATGATTTTGCATATTTAACTTAAGAGCCAACCACTTCCTTGTGTGTGTATAAATTAATGCCTCTGTAACCTGGATGCCTTTAGTCAAATTCCCTTGTCTCTGGAATACAGTGCACATTTCCCAGGTGCTGGAGGGAGGGATGGGGTGGGAAGCAGAGGCTCAGAAATGACCAGTATCAGTAAGTTGGAGGAGAAAGAGAGTCTCTTTCCCAGAGTTCCAAACATCTGCACGTCCCCAGGAGGGTCTGAGGGGCAAGCCCAGTGCTGAATGCATCGTAAGGCTTGGCAAGCAGGCGATAATTGGGTGACTGATTCTCTGGGGAGTGTGAATGCCAGAGGCTTTGGAAGCTCATCTCCTCTGTTTAGTCAGAAGATGGTAAAGACAAGCCTTGTTAAAAAGTCTCCTCTCCCAGGGGAGCAAAAATGAAACATCTTTTAGATATTATTTGCTTAATCTGATATAATTTCGTTTACTCCAAGAGATTGCTCAGTTCATCATACTGATGTGGAAATTCTTTTGAAATCAAGGACATGCTTGTGTGCAGATGACAAATATCTGGGGAAAAAGCAGTGAAAAAGAGAAAGTTTTATAGCTGTGAGCACTTGAGAAGTATCTCAGATATCTGGTGAGCCAGAGATATGACGTCCCCTACAAATTAAGATACAGGTTGGACTTTGAGGGTGTTCCTCTGTCACAAGGGGAGAAGCCCACACTGTGCCCTATACCAGTGCACCCAAATCCCCTGGGGGTTAAATGCAGGCTTTGATTCCGTAGGACCGGGATGGTGCTCAGGAATCTGCATTTGCATTTCTTTATTTGAGAGAGAGAGAGAGCGAGATAACGACCAGGGGAAGGGTTAGAAGGAGAAGCAGGCTCAATCCCAGGACCCTGGGATCGTAACCTGAGCCGAAGGCAGATGCTTAACGGACTGAGCCACCCAGGTACTCTGGGACTCTGCATTTTTAACAAGTTCCCTGGTAAGGTTGATGCTGCCTGTTGGGGGCTACTTTAAATGGCAAGGTGTTAAACGACACCACCCTCTCTGCCTGGGTGTTAACTCTTAGCAGCAGAAGTAAGGGTCCATGAGACTGTAAGATCTAAGAGGGTAGGCAGAGACCTGCTCTGCTCACCTTGGATACCCAGCACTCAGCACAGTGCCCACTCCACTTAGGACGCTGATAAATAAATCAATGGTAAATAAGGAAATGCCTGATTGACAAGATGCAGCTGACATTTTAGTCATAGTGGATTTTGGTCCATGGTTTGCCTGGGATAAGCCTCCAGTGGGCTAATGCGAGCCTGAGAGAATCCAGGGAAGCCGGACAGTGGTATTCCCCCAGCCATGGAGCCGTTATGGCTCATGCCCCAGAGCTGAGCATCTAACAGTCCTTCAGTAATTTCTTGTTAGTTAGTCTCAGTACTTCGACTGGCTTGTAAAAGGTCTTTCCTCAATCGTTCCTGCTGCTCTCAATCCATTTGCTGCACGGGTTAGGGAGATCTTTTAATAAGGTGAACCAGATGGTGTCCCCCTCTCCTAGAACTTCCAATGGCTTCCCATGTCTCTCCACCTAAAGCCCCACCTTCTTCCTCAGGGATTGGGATTTGGTGTGACCTGGACCCTGACAACCCCTCTGATCTCATCACCCCACTCTCCACCTTATTCACGTGCCCACAAGCCACTCCGACCTTCTTTCTCTTCCTCTCCTACCCCAACTCAGCCCCACTTCCAAGCCTTAGCACTCGTGGTCCTGCCTGGGACCCCAGATAGCCAGCGTCTTCTCGTCGTGCATGTCCCAGCTCATGTCGCCCCTCTT